AGGTCAAGCAATCTGCTGTAGCAAGCCCTCCACATACTTTATATACACACTGAAATTTGAGAGACACTGGCATAAAAAGAAGAAGAAGAAAAGAATTCCCTGAAGTCTGAATAATTGGCTGTGTTTAAAAATCGTTGATACTTTACATTTGTGTAGCACTTTACAATTCAACAAACTTCCTACCTTACCTCTTGTGAGCTTCTTAAAACAACCCTGTAGGGTAACTAAAATAGATAGTTGCAGCATTTTGTAAATGAAACTGAAGCTCAAAATATTTAAAGAGACTTGCTTAAAGTTATAGCATGCAAGTATAGATCCAAATTCAGGGCTCAGATCTTCTGAGTTGTACAAACTAATAGGCAGGACACTGAGAGAAAAACAGGGCCAATGGCTGTAAGCTGTAAGTTATGCTCTGGAGGAGGGGTATCTCTGAGTCTCAGATGATGACAGGGAGAGAGACAAGGATATTTACCTGCAACCTCCTATCAGGTAAGTCACAGTCATTTGTATTTGGCACTCTCAAAGACCACAGTAAAATGCACTAATCCTTTTTGGCCTGAGTTTGCTATTATGTGGAATCAGCTTTGAGAAACACAAGCATTTAACCCTCACCAAGTGACTTAGTGGATAGGTCAGTCACTTTTGTTTTTTTCCATAATTCTACAAATACATCATCATAAGTCAAACCACATAAAATAAAAGTCTCCTGTGTACTGTATGTGTATATAGATACACTTATGTGTTCCATACTTACAGAAGCACAGCCACAATTTGCATCTTATGAGATTTGTCCACTGTGTTTCTCAGTCCATAAAGGGCAACAAAGGATACAGTTTGCAGGTACATAAACATTCTTTAACAAAATGTATATAATATGCTCTTTTTTTTTAGATGATGTGTAGTATGTTATACACCATTATTTACCAAGTATATTTGATAAAGGATTTCCTGGCAATGCATGCTCCTTAAAGTATCAGGGCTAACCAACAAATTTTGATTACATCTAGTGATTTAACTACAGAAAAAGAAAACTTCATGATGGTCACAAACTTACCTAGTAGGCCCATGCCCATAGTTTATTTCAAATAGTGAATTGTAAGTCATAGAAAATCACATATTGTGTCAATAATTGGAGTGTTGACACTTTATTCGTGAATATTGGCATTCCAGATGACTTGCAGAAGATAAACAGAAATTTGAATAAGACCTTTACATTTTACTATCAAATAAGCCCATCTTCTTTTGTTTCTTCATTTTGCCTCTTGGTGTAGAAACAAACAGGGAATTAAGGATCTCAAATGTGAAAAAAACTAAACAGTAACTATTCTTCATTTAGATATTCAGTTTCCTTGGGAATCTCTAATACTTATTAGGTACACTGACATTTAAATGGAAACAATGTTACTATTATTAAAAGTATTATAATATCCCGTAAACATCAAATAGGGTCAGAATTGTGAGGTAAATAAAATTTCATTACCTTGAATTTAGAATATTTAAAACCACAAATGTGAAGTCCCTGTATTTTATCACATGCCCACTTGTTTTATATCCAGATATGCATGTGTATGTACGTTTTACAAAGTTGCTTTATGAACAGATATGTGATAATATAATTTATTTTGAAACTAGCATGGTTTTTTGTGGTCAAATATTTTATAATTATCTGTTCACATATCTGCTGCTCATATTAAAAATATGGTCAGTAGAACTATTAAAAATTAAATTTTAAAGGTTGGTTTGAAATGCTATTTCCACTATTCCTTGACTTATAAGAGGACTATTAATACATAGTCTCAACCTGCCATTATTAAGCAGGAGTGAATCTCTATGTGTATGAGTGTAGAGAGTTGGAAGAAACAGTGTTAGAAACTGGTCCAGAATTGAACTCTTACTCCTGTGAGAGTTGGTAATAAGGCAGGTAGACTCTGTTTAGAAAAGCACCTGAGGGTGCTTCATGACTGAAGTCCTGTGCACTTCAGAGTCTGTCTCACTCTTCCCTGTGCACACAGATATAAATGCAGATTCTGCTTATTCTATTTAGGGAGGAACCAAGGCTGCTGCTGCTGCTACTACTCTGAATCACACTTTGATTTTTGTTCCTGGGATAGAAGTTGGTATTGTGGTTTTCTTTAGTTCCTTACACAATTTCTTATACAGGTCTGTAATCTTCTCTAGAAAACAGCTGAGTTAGGTATGTATACATGAGGCTATCTCTCTTTCCCTCAAGTTTTGTCACCATAATTATATAGTTTTTATTTTTTTCAAAATGATAGAAACTGCAGAGCAAGACCTCAAGACTAATGTGTACTGTCTTATCTGATGCATAATTACACTAAAGATCATAATTACAAAGAATGAGCATCAATTCTTAAAAGAAACACTTGTTTCATAGGAAACGTTAAGGCAGTGAAGGTAAATGTTTGGGGACAGTCAGCCAAACTTCTGTCACTGGATAACCAGAATTACAAACCTCCCTTGTCTCCTGTTGCCATCTCAGATTATTCAGGGCCACAGACTCACTAAGAGAATTTTTTTTTTTTCTCCTAGCCATTTCACCTTCTCAGTGCCAGACATCTACTGTGGCTCCCAACGAATCAAGTTCTCCTTCTTCTCCTCCTCTGGAAGCTCATGCGCCCAGTAAAATGTCACAAATAAAGTGAAAACATGCCTTTTCCAGGCTAGCCTTATAAACAGAAAGCAGGAGCACCATTCTTCACCAGGAAACTGACCCACAAAGCTTACTGGATTTAAAGAGACTGAGAAGAAGCTCAGCTAAGAAAACAAAGGGAATTCTCTCCATAGTTAATTCTGATGAAGCTCCACCAACCCCAAAATAAACCCTTGTCCAAGGCAAGGAAATAAAAAAGAGGGCATGTAAGGTGAGGTCTGGGAAAGAAATGGTGTTTCATAGGCAACTTATTTGCATGCTCTGTTTGTCTATCTTTTCTTTACCAGAGAATAAGTGGTAATGTGTTCATCTTGTCTCTCTCAGTCCCCATTTCCATACTGTAATGTCTGCTAAAGTGTAATGTTTAAAACTTTGTTCCTATTGAGCCATAGACAAACAAAAGCACATATGTATCATCCACAGATATGTATGCAGTGAGACTGTCTCTGTATGAAAGTATACGAATGTTTTTATTCTTCTGAATTAACATTCCTATACTTACCTAACTCTTAGATAACTATAGTTTCAGGTACCGGAGATGCTGACTTAGAAAGACCTTATAAAGCTCAAGGATACTTAGATAAAAAACAACTTATACATTCAAGTTATTCACTTTCCTCATATTCAATCATATAACCAGTGAACAAAATTTCTAGGGATAGCATAAATTTATGTAGAGTGCTTCACCATTAAAGGGTTAATGATGTTAGGGAGAATGAAGGTTAGCAGTTGTGTGTTTGCAAAAACATTTTCTGCCCCATGTCCGAATCCCTTTGCAAACAGATAAATTACTCTATAAATCTTATTACTCCATGTGGATAAATCACACTTGCAGGTTTGTAAGGCTGAAGAGCTAGAAGGGAAAATCTGCTTTGGATAGTAAGATCTTTGGGATTCATAATCACCCCATGCTCAGGAAATGAAGCAAGTAGCGCTTACACATTAGTATTTTCTTACTTTTCACAATCTTGAGAAACACATACCCACACAACACACACACGCATATGCAATGCACGGCACACAGCACACACTTCCCTCTCTAACGAGGCTAGAGCTCCCAAAGCAGGACACTGTGACAGCCAACCAAATTTATTTCTGAGAAAAGGAAAGAAAACTTTGCTGCTGTCGGCAGCTCTGCTAGAGAACTGCTCCCTGATGCCCCTGGGTTTATGCACTATCAGCTCCTTGCACACAGATTAGAGGTTTATTTTCTACGGTATACTGTGTTTTTATTGCCACAACAAGCAATATTAGCTAGATAGACAGACTGACACTGGGTCATTTTATTTGGAGGAAATGAGATTTTAAAAGGTCTCCAAGGAGAGTGATTCTTTCTTTCTGTTAGAGTCTGCCAGAAAGCCAGGATAAAAGAGCAAGGGGTAGGTACAGTTGGTCAAGAGGGAGAAGAGTGAAGAGAAACACAAAAATAACCTTGGAGCATTTTGGAAATAAAAATATGACTAGGTCTCATTTGAGTATCTCTAGCTCACAGTACCTGATAGGGGTCAAATTCCCAAGGACTTGGGACTCTTCCTTTCCAAATTTCAATCTCAAATTATTTTAGAGTTTGGCAGAGTTGCACAGAAAAAAGACTTTGAAGTCCATAATCAATTTGAAATATCCATTTGATACCAGGTTAATTCTTTCCCAACCTCTGTGTTTAACACTCCCAGTCTTAAATATCAGCAACTTGGCAAGTTCCTTTTCTTTCTGCTCTTTGTATGTTGTGTTGATTTATATCCACATACCAGAAAAGGCTCAGTAACCAACCAAAGTTCTAAGATTGATTTATTGCCCTCCGTATCAATTAGAAGATCTTTACAGAAAGTCTTCTGTCAGAAACCCTCACACACAGCCTTGATATGTGTGTGTGTGTGTTCGCCTGAAAGCACACACAAACACAGACACGGGAGGAACAAGGAGAATGCAGTACTCTGTACTACTCTCTGAGAGCCATAATCCATCAACCTTTCTTTCAGAATTAAGGAATCCCAACAAAACTCTCGAGTGCAAAGCAAGAGCAATTACAATAGCAAGAATACTGCCCAGAAGTCTCCAATGCCATGGGTGAAATTAGCTTCCTTGATAAGAGAAACAAGGTCCTAAGAACCGAACCACATTTAACCACCACCACTGCTCCCTGACAGGGACCAGAATCCCTTGAATTTTGTTAGCTCTCATGCCAACCAGTCAGTAAAACGGGGACACACACCACAAACCTGCATCATCAGGAGCTGGAGTTCAAGGAGATCAGGCACACACACACACACACACACACACACACACACACACAGACGCGCGCAGCAGAAAAGTTGCCCAAAAGCCCTACCTGAGGATGGCTGTGTCCCCCTGCCTCACGGTGATGTTGTCCGTGCCTCGGTTAAAATCCACGCTGCGAACAGGCAGTCCTGTGGGAAGAAGGCAGAGCAATCTCAGTAGGACCAGCGGCAACTGTTTCCGATCTGGCTGAACTCTCCCGACCATGGTGGCCACTGCCGAGGTTCGGGTCCGTGGGGTGCTCTGGAGGGGCGCGCGCTGCTCGCGGGAGAGGCTTCACCAGCACCGGGCTTTCATCCACAGCGAGCGCAGAGCGGGCTTTGCCAGTTTGTGGTCCTTTCCACTTTGCCTCTCTCTTTCCCTCGCTCAGTCTCTTTTCCCTCTAAGACTTAACAAAGCTCTCACAAAACCCAGGCAGAAGGGTGAAAAAGTAAAAGCAACACAATTTCAAAAGAGAGAGTACAAATGGCAAGCCCTCTGGAAGAGCTGAAGAGAAAGCCAGAGGAAGGGGTCCTTGTTTGGTCTCTCTGTGGCTGGACGCTCCTCTGCTAGTGCATGAGCTGAGCTCCTTCGCTCTGTAACCCACTTTCCCAGGCTGGCAGGCGGGCGAGGGAGCCGGCTCCAAGCCTGCCGGTGAGTGTACAGAGACAGTCACAGCAGCGGCAGCAGCAGCAGCAGCAGCAGCAACCCAGAGCCTCTCTCCCCCTCCTCCCTTTCCTGTTTCTCCTTCCAGTCCCTGGCGCTCTCTCTGCTCAGCACCTCCCCCCGACCCCCCTACCCTCCACCCCACACCCTGCTGGTTTTCAACAGCCCCTCCACGTCATCCCCTCCACCCTCCCCTGGACGTGGCCCCTCGCTTTGCACAACTGCCCCCTTCAGCAGCAGCCAGCCTCAATGAAAGCCTGATGCGCCTTTGGGTTGTCAGGACGACAGCTCCATCTGAGGCCTGGCTGATTTCCTTAAGAAGGGGGAATGGAGCTCAGAGGTACTGTTCAGAAGAGAGGGGAGAAAGAGAGGGACTTAAGCTAAAAAAGAACAGGAGAAAGAGTCCGGGAAAGAAGAGGGAAGGGGTAAGGAAAGAAGAAAAAGGAGGTGGGAAGGAGAGTTGCAAATGCAGGGAGTGGGGCAGAGAACAGGAAAGCACTGAGGTGGGGGGTGAGGGTGGGGAATGTCCTAAAAGACGGGATAAGGAAACTGAGAAGAAACTTGACGGTGGAGTCTAAGATTAAAAGCCAAAGTTGATTTCAAACTAAACATTTTTGGCAACTGGCTTTGCATGTTCAAATCTTGTTCATTCTCTCTTCTCTCCTGCACTTTCTCTTACAGGATTTAAATGGTTTATTTTCTCTCCTTCCTTCGTCCCCTCCCCCTCTTGGAACCCCCTTATGAAAGATGGATTGGAGACAATGCTGGTATTGAGTGGTCTGGGGTGTGAATGCTTGGCTTGTTTTTTCCAAGTGCCAGCCTCAGCAGCTGATCCCTGATCCCTAAATCAACTTCACTCTCCAGGAAACCCTCACTCAATCCTACACATGAGTAACGGTATTAAGGCTTATTATTAAAAGGGCACATTGAATTGCTACCCAAGTTCCTCCTGGCACTTAACTTCTCACAATGTTCATATGCAAGGAAGGAGATTTGTAAATCAGCAAGCTTGTCATTTGCAAAGAGACACTAAGTAAGACTGTATGCAGCACTCCAGCTAATGGCAGATAGGTTGCCATCATTTGTCACTCCTCCTACTCCATGAGCCAAGCAAGTGATGAGGACCATAAAGTGATGAGGATCATAAAGACCATTGAGAGTCACTCAAGTGAGAGCCCCAAACTCTTGGACAACTCCCTCAGTACTGACGTTGAGGATAAAAGTTGTGCTTGCATCAGCCAAGGACTTTTTCTTTTTTCTCTTTTTTGATTATGTTTATTTAAATAATGAAAGTATCCACATAGTGCAAAAACCAAATGGTACAATACGCTGTAGAGTGAATTGCAGTTTTCTTCTTATTCCTGTCTTTGGGCAACCCATTTCTCGTCTCTGAAGGCAACAAACATTTTCAGTTTGTTATTTACCTTTCCACAAATATTCCACACATTTAAAAATAAATATGTACATATAGAGAGATATTATACCCATCCCTCTTATTTAAGCAAATGTTTAGCCTAGGACATTTGCCAAAACTAAAATAAAATAAAAAGAAAGAAATATGTTTAGGAATCCTTATCAAACTCCACCAGAGTACAACCCTTAAGGAAACACTTTGCTGAAACTGGCTTGCCCCGTAAATATTCAAAGCACTTTTTCTACTGTATGTTATCAGTTTAAAAGATAGATGAACTCTTACAGATTATGTGAGGAGAAAGGAAGACCTATTTTGTTTTTAAGAAAAGACTGAGGATTGGAATCTGAATTGTCACATATTCATGATTGATGGAGTTCAATTAATTTTGTGTGTACTGTGCATTCATTTTATATAAATCAAGGTGTCCTATGTCAGGGATTATAAGCAGTGCCCAATTAATAAACCAATAATGTTCGAGCACTAAGTTATAACTCAGCTGTTTAAAACTTGGAATCCATTTTGCCATAGGAGAAACAGGCCAAGTTGATAGTTAACTACAAAACTCATAATCCTGTGAATCCCAGTATAAATAAAAAAATGAGCTTCAAGTGTCAAAAAAAAAGATGCAAGGATTATATAACTTCTACCAATACTGAAGAGAAAAAAGCACCTTCCCTAGCTCCACACCACCAACAGACATGGCCATCCTTAGTCAGGCTAATTCTAACCACTTAAGAATGAAGAAGAGTTAGCTTAGACAAAGGCTTCAATAAACATATATCTTTTGGTTTGGTGCTTCTTCTATGTTAAGCGGAAGAAAAGAGAGACCAGTAGCTCTCTTCTGGTGCAAGGGACTGGTAGCTACAGAATCATCTATTTCCACTGTTGGTGCTAGGTGAATAGTATGACCTCTGGTAAAAGCATAGATACTCTGAGGGGAAGGATTAGACATTTAAAGAGTATGAGTATTTTCCTGTTTCAGTCAACTAGATTTTGTATGAAGAAAGAAAAGTTTTTTTCAGGACAAGGAAGAAGTATGGTGGGTGGTAGCATATTATAAACAGAAGATGTTTATACATGATTGTTAGCTAATACCTATACCGGTAACCTCATACTACCAGAAGAACTTGCCTGGTAGTTCTTAGAGAAAACATGTTTAACCTACCGAAATACAAAGTAATTTACATCAAGTAGTAGGAATGTGGAATTTGTAGTAAATCAATAAAATCTGGAATTTGTCTGTATAGTCACTCTGAGAAAATAATATATTAAAGTAAATCTGGATTGTAATCAGAATTATAGAATTGCCTAACCTACCTAATAAGAAAAACATTATAAGTATATATGGGTATAAAAATCATATAATGTAATTAAAGGTTTTTAAAAATATATTAAGTAAAGTCCATTTATTGGCAAATTTTTTAAAAAACAAATTGACTTAACTATGACAACTGAAAGTAATATGCAATTTTTTAAAAAAGACTATTTTAGGCCAGGGTCAGTGGCTCACACCTGTAATCTCAGCACTTTGGGAGGCTGAGGTGGGCAGATCACCTGAGTTTGGGAGTTTGATACCAGCCTGACCAACATGGAGAAACTCCATCACTACTAAAAATACAAAATTAGTCAGGCATGGTGGCGTATGCCTGTGATCCCAGCTACTAGGGAGGCTGAGGCAGGAGAATCGTTTGAACCCGGGAAGTGAAGGTTGCGGTGAGCTGAGATTATGCCATTACACTCCAGCCTGGGCAACAAGAGCAAAACTTGTCTCAAAAAAAAAAAAAAAAAAAAGTACTATATTTTTTAAATTATCTGATTTAGGCTGTTTAGAAATTAGTTCTAATTCAATTAGACTGAATGTCTCGATAATTTCAAAATTATGAAGTTTATTTTATTTCTTTAAAATTTATTATTTACATTCAGGCAGCACTTCAAGCACAGCTCTTTAATCCAGCACTAGGCCCAGATGGGATACTCTATACGTGATAAATACAAGAATGGAAGAGTCATTAAATGCTCATGCTCATTCACTTGGCTTACCTCACCATTTACAAAATAATTAAAGTACTTGAGGGTGCACCATCTACTTCCATTTCAACATTATGCTTTCTCAGAGTTCTTCCTCTTTCCACTTGATGGAATCTGTCTGTTTTTTTGTCCTCCATGATCTCTTGTTTTCTGAAAAACCCATTAGTCAATAGACATTGGATAATGTATCTCATCCTAATCATCACTCCCTTAAATCTACCCTGATATTAACTTCTCTGCTTTCTTTCCTCGGAAACGTAGAGAAGGAAACAAATAAATGTGTGGCTGAAATTTACACAAGCTATTTTTCTGTAAACCACTATATACATTCTTCCAAGAAGGTTGGCAAAAATGAACATACTTTCAGGTTATTTGTGAGGCAAGTATGGCTGTTAGCCATGTGAAACAGCCATCATCGCCCAAGTAAGATGATCTTAACTACTACTTTAAAATAACATACTGCCTTTCTAAAAGAGGCTTTAGAAGATTCTGGCACTCTCAAGGGACAAATGTTGCAGTAAAAACAGAAACTGGCTAACGTCTGAGTATCCTAAGAAGGATGAAAGGTTTATTCTTCTGTTTAGCTTTGTAAGGTAATGGGCTCACACGAAATCCAGATGCAGCCTGGAATGTGCAACTAATTGAACAACACTGCCTGCATTTTATGCTAAACATGTCTATAATATTAATATACTACTCTACATTTCTACAGTTGTAAGGTCTTAATCATAATAACACCATGCCTGTACCTTACTTTTCTAAGTGGAATTAGCATTGCCATATGAACTAGAAATGCAGAATTGTACATACGTCACCTGAGGATCCCTGGTATGACATTTTCAATGATTCTATCATAATTTAGCAGTATTCAAGTATCTGAGTTTATGCTTATAAACACTGCATTATCTTATGTGATTTTCTCTGGAATCCGGTCCTTCCAATTCAGACACTTTATTGGCATATGTGTCAATGCCTAAGAAAATCAGTCAACTGCAAGTCAGTTAAATATTGTCCAAATCTTTACTTTAGACCTTCTCCCCCAATGATGGAAAACGCTTGATCCACATGCTGCACAATTAAAAATCACTCTTTGTTTGCATTTAGTGCATGCCTTTGTGGTTTGTTATTATCATATCAGTTTTCTGCTTCTAAGTAAGTATACTTTAGTCACTTGCTCTATTTTGGTAGCATCAATGCTTGGATCTGTCCCAGTTTTTGAAAGGTCTTTGGGATTCCTGAACTGCTACTTGCATCCTTACTTCTTGCTTCTGCTCCTGATTTACCCATAAACATATATGTACTTCTATTTATTGATGCATTTGCACACCAGAAAAGTAATTTTCATATGCCTTATTATTTCTCAGAAATACATACACCAGGCCTTGGACCTTCCTCTTTTCTAGGTTGTCCACTCTTCCACCATGTACCAGGAGGTGGAAATGACCAAATAATGCTGCATCTGCATTGCTACCACTCTTATTGTTCTACCCCCCCCCCCCAGATATGGGAAGAACATTGCAACATCTGGAAAAATGGCAGTAGTGGCATCTTCAGAATGATTACCTGCATCTAATAGAAGTAGGTAATCAGGAAATTCTACCCTCTATTTATGGTTGTTGTACTGATTTGAATTCCTACAATC